AGAGGAATTGGACTAAAGCCCATGAATTTTTAAGGCTCTATGTGAAGGAAAACCCAGCCTAGTTGACTGGAGATCCCAAGAACTAAGTTCAATGGGACAACCTACTTGCATAGACCTAGTGAGGACACTATGGGGGGTTTTATCCCAAGCCCATTCTTATGATCAAAATAGTGACTAAAATGTAGATAAGGTTAAGCAATGCTTTTAATAACCAATATGTGTTTCGTTGAACCGAACTACATAAGTCACCTATGTGAGAGTGAAGTGGAGCCGCTTCAAAGAGACTATTGGGGCATAGTTCTCTAAGCTCTTGCAGAACCATGGGATGTCCACGGCTATATGGACATAACCATGAGAACCAAACTCTTGTCAGTAAGATATTTGTGTGAGGTATGTCATCGCTTACACAAATGGCATGACAGTTCAAGGACATCACGTCTATTGGACAGCGAGTAAGGTAAACATATTTTCACAAGGGAAGGTTCAAATGGGGACGCCTACCTATCCTATACAAATATCGAATGTAGAATCTATCACCACGTCGAGTCAATGTTTTAAACAATCAAATTCATTCATGTGGTGGATTGTTGGAAAAATATGAATGAATTGATTTATTCAATCATGACTATTCATGAAAAATAATTAAGTCTTTTCATGAAAAATAGTTATTTCATTTCACCCCAAAAGTCATGTCTTTCCATGTTAACCTTTTGATCAAAAGGTTATAATTTTTAATCAAATGGGTAAGTCATTTCATTTAAAGATCTTAACCTTTCAATACAAATTCTTCTCCCTATATAAAGGCTAATTTGTGACACATCTCAACACACAACTTTTTACTATTTTATTTCATACTTTCCTTTCAATTCTCTGATTCTTCCAAAGTCATTTTTCGGTGATAGATAAAGACAAAGATTGTGTTCGATTGTTCACTACGGTTGTGCTTACTGTTGTGAACGTTTGTTGTTATATCCTGGGAGACCGACGTCCAACGTTACTCAAAGCACCAAGGAGAGGACGAATTTGTCTTAAGGAAACTGTTCATTCAAGCCTAAACAAAACTCTTCTTCTATTTATTCAGTTCCATCCGATTACAGGTTCTATTTTAATTTCACATTTTTTAACTTTATTATTGAAACGAAATTTTTAGAATATAATATTACAACACTATTTTCAATAATTTGCAACATTTATATCAAACATAAAATAGACTACACTTCTTACTGGTTCTCTACACAACAATATAAATTATGATCAACATCCATGAATAAATATTGCATGAATAGGTCAAATAAGTATTCAATTAATTAAATCAATGTTAATATATTTTTGTAATTTACAAACGTTAAAATATAAACTTCTCTTAAATCAATTTAAAATTAACAAATTAAATGTATGAATTTAAGATATTATATCTAAATTTTACTCCACAGGCATACATATATATATATAGGTAAATTATTTGATATACATATTATAAAAAATTTTAATTTACATGTGTATATATAAAAGCTGTGTATATGTATATATATATATATACAGGCAAAGAGGCTCCTCAAAACCGAGTCGTTAAGATTGACTCGGAAGTAAAGCCTTGGAAGAAATAATCAAATAATATTAGCGAAAAGGACAACTTTCGTTGCAAAATTTAACTTTTAAATTTAAAAACACCCTTAAACCCCGAGGCTAATATTTCAATTTTGTCAAATTAAAAAACTATATAAAAATAAAAATAAAATCATCAAACTTCTTTCACAAATTCAAGAGCTAGTGAACTTGGTCACGGCCTTAGTACCATCAGAGACGGCGTGTTTGGCAAGTTCTCCAGGGAGTACAAGTCTAACAGCGATTTGGATTACCCTGGAAGTAATAGTCGGTTTCTTGTTGTACCCTGCAAGTCTAGAAGCTTCTTGAGCTAGCTTCTCGAACATATCATTGATGAAACTGTTCATAATTCCCATCGCCTTGCTTGAGATCCCGATATCTGGGTCGACTTGCTTCAGAACTTTGAATATTAGATCTTGTACGTCTCCACGCTCTTCTTCCCTCTCTTCTTTTTCTTGCCTACGGCAGCAGCGCTTTCCTTGGGAAGCTTCTTCCCAGCCTTTGGCTTTTTCTCAGCCGGAGCCTTCTCGCCGACGGTGAACTTTTTCTCCACCATTGGTTTCTCAGCTAGCTTCTTCTCGACTGGTTTCTTTTCAGGTTTTGGTGCCATGGAAAATTATCTACAGAAAGGATTGCAAATGGAACGACGAAAAAGAAAAGGAATTATTTGGATGATTTCCGACGATTTAATACGAGTTGAGAGTGAGCAATGCTGTGATTTGATTAGGAAGGGAAGAAATATTTTGATTGGATGACGCGGGAATACGCGGATTCTTGACATGGAGATTTGTCGCCGTTGGATTAGGAATTTGTATCGACGGCATGGAAAGATGCGTGAGGGTTAGTTTAAATGGGATGAGATGTAAAGGCGGGGACGTGACAGATGGTGATTGTCTAATATTATGTAGGGGCCTGATATTTTTGCCAATTTAATTTGTGTTCTCATCTCGTATTGGGAATAAGTTTTAGAGTTTGCAGACCAACTGTTTGATGAAATGGATCCTTATGAAAGCGATCATCAGCTTAGTCATTGACTCATTATTTGTCAGCTGTCGGCAACCGTACACCAGATTGAACAATATAAAGTAATGCAGAGAATAAACGGGACAGTTCGTGTTTCTCGTAAATTCCCACTAGATCACTCTGGGTCGCAATTCTTGCTCCAAATTATTTGTTGGAGGTCTCAAAAATTTCTTGCTCTTCTTTTTTTTCTTCTCTTTATCCGATTTGAGGGAATGTATGTATACAACTTTCTTCTAATTTTACTATTATATAATCGATTTGTGATGAGTTCTATTGATTGTAGGGCTTTCATATGATACCAACGAGACTGTTTTGAAGAATACTATTGAAAGACATGGTGAAATCATTGAAGGTAATTTTCCTGGATATTTATTTCGACGTGATTTTGTGCTTTACGGGGTTGAAAAATGTTTGGGCTTTAACAGTTCGAGTTATTGCTCATCATGTGAGTGGAAAATCAAGAGGGTATGGATTTGTGCGTTTCACTTCAGAAGCTTCAGCCATTGCTGCTCCTAAAGAAATGCATTGCCAGGTATGTTTAAAGTAATTAATTCGGTGACTCAATTTTAAGTATTGGCCCTTATGTATTCCTATTATGATAAATGAGCAGTTGAGCTGAGATCTGATGCTGTATATAATGGTTGTTTTTAGGTATTGGATGGTAGAAATATTTCGAGTTGAATTCGCACGCAAGGGATGATTGATTGATATTTATCATTACAGAGGTTTGATTTCTTCCATGTTGGTAGTTATTGATTTTCATTCAATCAGGAAAACTTGGTTTCATGTGTTGAATCTGTGAGTTCACTTATCAAATGTCTTTGATGGATAACTTCCATTTGATACCTGAGAACTTTGTAACTCATTTTGAACTCTTTTGAAATGAATCAGATCTCCCCAGTTGGATTTGATTCATTGGAACCTGTCTCATTTGAACACATTGTTTTATGGAAAGAAAATGAGAACGTATGGGGATGCCATATATGAGAAACCATTTTGGGATCCTAATGATGATATGTAAAAAACTTTATTTTCTTTTTACGTAGAAAACCTACTTTCGCAATACTGAACCACGTTAAATCTTGTATCTTACACCTGTCTTATTTTATATTGATCTCGCTTTAGTTATTTTTCCGCTAATTAATTCCCAACACATTTATCTATCTGCATAGAGCCATTGTGACTGCGTTTCCGTGTTTGTTGTTTGAGGACAACCTACATTTTGAGAGAGTTTATTATATACCTTACCTTGTGATGATTGCAACTCGTGACAGAGTTTATTATTCTCAACTGTTTCCTCACCATCGGCATATATCAGATATGGTTTCATCTTGTTATAGCATAGCCAAAATTTTGAATGAAATACAATGCGAGCTGCTTCAATTGGAATCTGATTTCGTATTTGAAAGGGAAAACAAATTTTCCCTGGATAACTCGAGTGAGTCTTTTTAGAAGTATGACAAAAGGAGTGGGGTGATGAGGAAGAAGACCTTTCAAAGAGTTGGTACTTATTCTCAATCAGCGTCTCCATAATTCTAATTTTGGACTGGGGATTATACTTATGTTTTGCCTATGATGTTCGATCTTATGATTTGTTCTATGAGTATGACAAGTTTTAAGATCAAAAGTTGAGTTTTGAGTATAAAATGTTTCGAATATCAATGCCAAAAATGTAGTTGTATGTGCTTTTGTATATCACACAGAAAACAACAAGAATCCCAGCAAGAAAGTTGTAATAATACTAGTTTCAACCATTAATGTTACATTAATTTAAGCTCAAAGTTTCAGCCATAAGTAGTACAAAGAAAGGAAGCAAATGTTTATTTTGAATGTTAACTCAACTGTCAAATCTGTCACTAATACGCTGGAGCCACAATGAACCCCATTCTTGATGACTGCCAAAAGAGTGTTTAGTTGCCCAACTGATTGGAATTCAGCTACAATTCAACGATCATGATACATGTCAACGTTCACCCTCATCCTCATCTTCACCGTTGATGATGCCATCACCTTCGGCCTCAGATGCCTTTGATACCAGCATATGGAGAAATTGCAGTTGAGATAGAATTAAGACGATTGATAATGAGTGAAAGGAAAGCTCCGTGTGCTTTAAAGGAAATTCTTATGGTTTGTGGAGAAAGCATCTTCCAAGTATATACTTCAAGCATTAACTTTATGGGCCATATTACATATATATATATATATAGTCTTTTCAACTTTATTTTTAATATGATTATAATGGCGAATGGGAGGGAATTGTTACACCAACCAGAAACCCTAGGAATTGGCATATTTGGAATTTTTATTGCTTTCCGCCAAGCCATCATGGTATTAACTTGGATAATTAAACAAACAAGCAATGGGTTGGGATCATCTAATATTTACAGTAAATAGCAACAAACAAAAATAAATAAATTCATGCCCAAACGATATCACCCATGAACTTAAGAGCTGGAATCCCTCTTATTTCTAAATCAACTAGAGGTGCTTCAATTATCCTCAAGTTGGCAAGCTCTGGGTCATTGCGGATCATCTCAATGGCACGCATTTGCTCCTGTAAACACACAGATTTAAGCTAAATGCACAGCTTTTACACATGTTACAGGATCAACAACTTCGTATACGAAGCAAGCGCTGTTCATACGAAGCCAAAGAAGAAGAAACAGATATTACCTTTCTTTTAGTAGTGCAAAACTTGCAATCGGATACAGATGGAGGTAAAATCTGATTAACGATAAGCTTGTGAACTGGTACACATTCTTTCCTCAAAGATGCATGCAGCCTAGATGACTCATTTACTGCCATTACCTGCATTAAGGAACCAATTAGTGATCAAAGAACACATTGAACCATTCAAAATTAAACTTCATTCTACTTGGTTTTGGTTTTATAAATCCAGCCAACATAGAGGTCGTTTTTAGTGTATTGGAGACTAATGCAATATATACATATATGCACTTTTAGTAGGTCTACAGTTCAAATAGCCGCCGAAGTCTTGCTTACCATATTCCAACTTAGATACAAGTACATTACTTTTTTAACAAGCTAAGCAGATATTTTATTCTTTAAACAACACGAATAAATAGCAGTAGTAAAACTATTTGATCGATCACTAGGTACAGAGAAAGGTAGGACTGGCATCAGAAGTTACATCATGTCAACAAGGTGAAATCAAGGTGTTACCGATGGTATGGTTACTATAACAAACTCAGTGGTATTGGAATCCCGGAAAAGGTCTCGCACTTTTGTCATCCTCTCCCTCAGTAGCTGTAGTTTGTCAGGCTACATACTCCAGAAAAGCATGGTTAGAATTTAGATACTGACCAAATTGTTCCAAACAGATATTTGAGCTTACCACATCCTTCCGTTCTTCTGCTTTCCCAAGAACAGATTTGATGGCTGAAGTTGCTGAAGCTAATTTCTTTTTGAACTGATCAAAAAACAGTTTTATAAAATATATCAGAAGTTTGTTTTATGTCCAAGGTCTTTACATTGCACATAAATTCGAGCAAAGTTAATAGATAAACTGATCTGATTAGGATACATATAGTAATGAGTCGAGAATAACTGTACTGGCACTTCCAAGCAAAAGTGTCGTTTTATACCTTCATAATTTTCCCAATGGATGCATCCAAGAAGTCAGGCAAGGACAAAAACCGAAGTGTATGGCCCTGTAAAATACTCGATAAAAAATTAGGTATGTACTAACTCCAAATGCAGTTGAGTATACTAAAAATCAAAAGCAATTAAGAGTCCACTGACCGTAGGTGCTGTATCAATCACTATCCTGCTAAACTTACTGTACTGCGGCGATTCAACAAATTGCATCACCTACAAGCAACTGTAGGGTTAGGATAAAAAACAGTCTCAAATGAAGGTAAGCATAAAACACTAAAAGTAATTAGAAACGGATCAAAGAATGTACATGCCTTGGAAATTGCTATAGCTTCATCTAAACCTGGCGGAGGGGTGTCCAACAGCTCTCCAAGTTTTAGATCCCCCAACTTTAAAGTAGTAACCAAAAAATGTCAGGTACAACAATGAATGAACAAATCTTAAACAAAATTGAAATAAAGTTGGTAGGTTAAGGGGGGAAAAGGGCAAAATGGATCAGAACTAGGTACAAGGGGGATATACATGGGCCAGAATGCAGCCTAGGGAGCTAATAAATGTTTCAATATCGTTCGGAATCTTTAAATTGCTTTCAAGGAACCAGAACTAAGTCCACATTCAAAATCCTGGTTAGAATAAAAAACTATAAGCAAAAGTGTAAATCAAATCAGCGCTATGACACAAGTCCATTCCTTGACCATTATTATGTTCGCACGCCAGTAGCTACTAAAAATTATCAAAATATCATCAGACATAAAATAAGTTTTAACAGATTCTTCTTCCATTATTGATGATAATTAACAGAATGAAAGTCACAAGTTCTAAATTTAATGCAACGGGCTGATAAGTGTGCAAGACTTGTATCCACCTGATCAGCAAGCATCCCAAGGCCCATGTTATTCATAAAATCTTTGACAGCACTACCACCATTCTTTTGACTTGCAGATTGAAATTCCTCTTTAGCTTTATCTGGATTTATCTGTTATATTGCTAAGGTTTAAAAATGTGCATCACATGATGAGCTAATGTGGAAAAATTCAACCTTATACCATATACCTCAAGAGCCAACAAAGGAGAATTCAGTCCATCGATAGAAACAAGATTCCCTCCTGCCAAATCCTTGAGATAATGAACAAAGCAGATGGTTAAAGAAGGGTCCCACAAACTAACTTCCATTGTTGAGCATTTTCTGTTTAGAGTTAAAAAACAGAAACATTTATTGATACCAGGGAAAAAGAGTCACTTAAGGAGTGAGCAGGATCAGTTGAGATCACAATGGTAGGGTGGCCATGGTCTGCAAATTTTACAGCAAGGGAAGCAGCACAGCTTGTTTTCCCCACGCCTCCTTTCCCACCTAGGAAGTAATACTTACGCTGCGGTCCAATGATCATCTCATCAAACCTAGCAGCTGGATCAAGAATAGTTGCTACAGATCTCACTGCAATGAAGAACATGTACCCATTTCATCAATAGGAAAAACAGCCCACTACAATCAATCACCAAGCGAATCAATTATGGTCACTGGGGTAAACAAAATATAGAATAGCATACAGGAGAAACAACGTTACCTAGAAAAGGTACAGTATGTGGTACAGAAGTAAAAATCGATTTGGTTCTATGAGAAGGGATATTGTTTTGGGGTTTGGGTGTGTAATGAGATATTGTGTTGGGAATTAAGTTTCCTGGAATACGTGAAATAGAGCGAAAACAACGAGATAGCATCTTAGAACTGGAAATGGATGATATAAAAATTTGGGTAAATCTCAGAAATTCAAATGGAAATGAATTTGACCACACTTGAGTGTGAGTGTGAGTGTGATGATGCAGAGGAGGCAAAGCCTGGAGCGGCAGCAAGACAGAAACTTGAATTGAGGGTTTTGTTTGGGTTTTAAGACTTGAAGAAATCGCCACGTCATGGGCCGGAGTATGCCGCATGTCAAAACTATGAGCCCGCTGGATTCACTAAAGCTCCATCCTTTTTATTTATCCGTAAATTCCATAAATTTAATTTTTTAAATAGTTTGGGTTTGGGAAAATTATTAGGAAGTATATGTTTAAAATTTTTCTTAATCGTTGAAAATGTATATATAATATATCGAGTTCAAAAAATTTAAAAGAATAATACTAATAAATTTAATTGAAATTTTAAAAAATAATATAAATGCATTATAAGTCTTTAATAATAATTTCCATTTAAAAATGTCACCGTCCAAATAAGCAAGGGTTGAGAATTCTGAAATAGAAGGTATAACCGCAAAGTAATCCTGAAAAGACCACGATTACAAGCTACGTTAAAGCAAGTGAAAAAAAAAAACAAGCCCACTTACTGCTTAATTTTTTAAGTTTTGAAAGCTGCATGATGTCCCAATCACACCCGAGACGGTTAGCCCAATTCCTGAATTCAACCTCTCCCTGAAAGCTCCACTTCATCTTCACCTGCACAGTTTTTTCCCCCATATTCCCACTGTTTCAATTCCTCAAATAATAATACGTCAACCACCAACCACAGCCACTCTTTCTTTGCCTCTAAGCTTCGGCCTTATATCAAAACCCCATCACCCTTTCTTTGTTATTTAATGTTTCTTCAAGGGCTGGGGTTGAATTGAACAAAGTATTCATGGCCACCCAACCAGACCTGTCTGTTAATAACATGTCCATGGAGATTGTAAGTTCAGCTTTTGTAATGCCTCGTTTCATTGTTTTGGCCTCATATTCTTCTCTGATGTTTTTTCCCCTTTTGCCTGATGCTTCATGTTGTTTACCTTGTGATCCCAGAAGAAAAAGAAGCTTAGTGGACAGCAAAAGAAAGAGGCACTTGAAAGAGAGGTATGTGATTTACCATGTGTACAAATGAATGATTATGATCCATCATCCATGTTTAAAAGACACACATCCGTCTCAATAAATGTTTTAACTCCAACTTTGTGCAATTAATTGATCATTACTGATAGTACACTGCAAAACGTGGATTTCAACCCCTTTTCCTGACCAATGACTTAAGAACTCATTGATATGCATCCCAGATTAATCATAGTTTGTTTATTTCTCACTTTTGGACTTCTAGTTTTCTCCGGGAACTTGATGATGAGTTTCTTATTAAGTACTCAAAGGCTTTGTTGTAGCCATTATCACCTCTTTCTCCTAAAAGCATTGTTAGACGCCAGAATGTGGACGTTGCGTACATTTGCTCATTTTGCAAAAGTTCCAAATAAAAATGGCATACTTAATAATTATAAGGTAAACTATCTCTTAGTCACTCAACTTTTTTGTCATTGTACTTTAAAAAGTTTAATTTTTACACTAAACTTTTGATATTTTTTTCCAGACTATTAAGTAATGAACAATGGATTGATGTTGACATATATAGAGATGAAAGCCATTTTTTTATCTCACTATATTATTAATTAAAATTATGACTTTTTTCATCAATCTCAACAATAGTAAGAAATGTTATTCTCGGGTGTCTTTTATGATCACCCCAAATACATTTGAATTCATTTCATTGTCATCTATCATTTTATCTATTTAGGTTTTTCCAAAATTTCTTTAAAACTTATAAAATTAAACATACAAAAATGCATCAATACTGGAGTTTGAGATATTTGTTCTAAATTTTGAACGTGAAAAATATTATTTTGATAAGACGATCAACATAACTCGAAAATAAATTTTGGAACATGGAAATTTTAGGAAGAATTTCATTGACTGGATTTTTTAAAAAAAATAGTCCGAGAAGAAGAAAAATGAGTGTAACATTTTGGTAAATTTAATAGTCTAGTGACAAAAAAAATAATGTCAGAAATTTAGTACTAAAATTAAAATGTTTTGAAGTTTAATGATATTAATATACAAACTAAAATTTAGTGACGAACAAAACAATTTATCATAATACAAAATCAATATAATAAATATGACACTACATAACTCATACACATCACTTTCGTGTTTAAGATATAACATCCATATGACAATCAAAGAGAACACGAGAAACACTACGTACATATACATTGATTACAACATTTCAGTATGTATGGCAAAACCCATCTGCCAGCATCTCGCTGGCAATTAATACGCAACTGATAATTGCTTTGTCCCTGTTCCCGGAGGAGGCAGCAATAAGGGAAGATCATCTGTTCTCTACCTCTTTCAGGCCCTTTCTTGTGGCCCATAAATTTTGAAGATGAAATGGTATTTGGAGTTACTTCAAAGCTCTGCAAATGATATATATATATATATATATATATATTGTAATTATTAGTGTGTGGTTGTTAAGCAAATTATATGGCATTGTTGGTTGTTAAGCAAATTATATGGCATTGTCATGATTTAAAGTTAAAGATACATACATTCCTTGTAGTTTCGATGAAGTTTTCTTTTGGTTGGCGCAACTAAAAAATATGAATTGAAATGATCATGTTGATGCTTTTTTTCCTTCTATTTGTATAGGTCTCCATGCTTCAGAGAATGCTAAACCAGGAAGAAAAGATGCATGAGATTTTGACACGAGTGCATCATCAAGAGGCTGGCTCTTCCATCTCTATTCCCAACTTCCTCCCTCCAAAGGTAACCCTTTCTTTCTCTTCTCTTTGCATACATATGCTTGCATGTTTTGAGGGCATATTTGATAATCAGCTGAGTAATCCATTGTCCATCTGGCTTGAAATTCTGCAGACGAAGGAGCTCTTGGCAGAGCTGGCTATGGTTGAGGGTGAGATAGCTCGTTTAGAAACCCAAATAAGCCAACTTCAACTTAGTCTGAAGCAGGAAAAGGAGGTCACCAGGGAAACAAGATCGAAACAATGGCAACCTGGGAGTTTGATGAGTTACCTTCAAGGTCATCCGTCAAACCCAAGCCCCATTAAGCAAGGTGGTCAGGAAAAGGTGGTTTTTGATACAAAGGCTTTGCATTTCATCAGCAAAGCTATTAAAGGCGATTATACTCTTAGTGACTTCAGTCTGAACGAGAGAATGGACTCCAGAATGCTTTCCGATCAGAAAGAAAACCAGTTCCAGGGAGAGGTTAAATTTCAAGACAGGGTTCCAAGGAAAAGTAGTTTGTTCAAGGCGGCTTCGCCTTTGCGAGACCCTCGACATCCATCTCCCAAGGCAAAGGCTCCTTTGATTTGATCCCTGATAAAACTAATATGAATGTATATGACTTACATTTTGCATATCATGAACTTCTTTTATGTTCAGATAAGGGAACGTATTCCGGAGTCGAATTGGAACCTGCCACCAAAATCTCTATCTAGTACACTGCTTTCAGAAGAGAACAGCCAGAATTGGCATCCGAACAAGCTATCGGAGAATATCATGAAATGTTTTAACTTCATTTTTGTCAGGCTACTTAGAACATCAAGAGCAATGGAACTGGAGAAATCAGGCCCTATTACAAGGTTTATGGGCACTCCCTTAAGCTCAAGAAGCTTTAGGGTAGAAAGTACTCTAAACCCGAAGTCAAGCCCTGGGTCACAGAAGGAATCAAGGCAACAAGACCCGTATGGTATCTTCGATATGGAAGAATCTATTCCAAGGGACATTGGCCCTTACAAGAACCTGGTCATATTTGCATCAAGCTCTATGGATCCGAAATGCATTTCAAGTTCTGTTCCTTTACTTAAAAAGCTAAGGTCTGCTGTAGAACTTTTAATGAACAAACAGAATTGCATTTAGTCCCTCTTCAGCAAGAGAGTAATGAAGGGAAATTTCTGATTAATTCTCTGTTTTTCCATCTGCAGGGTCCTGATGAGCAATCTCCAGAAGGTGGACCTGAGATCGTTGACTTACCAGCAAAAATTAGCATTCTGGATCAACATGTACAATGCCTGTATCATGCATGTATAGTATGGAAAATAATCTATTTTTCTTTAATCTCTTTCGCTTGATCTTTGCTTGACCTTACGCTAAACCATGAGTTTTAATGAGCTGCTTCCCCTCATTTTATATATCTACTGGTTGGTTTTACTATTGCAGGGATACCTCCAATATGGTGTGCCTAATTCCCCAGAAAAGTTTTTGACACTGATGAACAAGGTACTTTCCAAATTAGTTTCCCAGGTTGTTCTGTATGGAATTGGGAACTTCATGGATATCAAACTTTTGGCATTGAGTTTCAGGCAACTCTCAACGTTGGAGGAAACACGATAAGTGCTCAAGCAATGGAGCACTATATTTTGAGGAAACCAGCATCATCAAACATGAAAGAGGTACGTAAAAACTGTTCTGCTTCTGATTTAGAGTTTATCCGATTTACCCAACTTAAAGTATGATTTCTCCGAGACTTATCAGAGGGGTGACAAGGAAGATCAAGAAGCCATTGTCCGCAAACTTTATGGACTCCAGTTAATGGATCCAAATGTCACATTTGCTCTGAGCTGCGGAACTCGATCTTCGCCAGCAGTAAGTCTATAGCTAATTAATTTTGGAACTCAAATCTACCAGATCCTTAAACAAACTTCCTTGGCAGGTGAGAATATACACGGCTGATGGAGTTGCAGCTGAGCTGGAGAAATCGAAACTGGAATACCTGCAAGCTTCAATAGCGGTGACCAATACAAAAAAGATTGCACTCCCTGAGCTTCTCCTTCGAAACATGTATGATTTTTCAGTTGATATGAACTCTTTCGTCCAGTGGGTTTGTCAACAGTTGCCAACATCTGGTTCACTGAGGAAATCAATGGTGGACTGCTTCAGGAACCACAACAGTGGCAAGGTATCCATCACCGTGGAGAAAATACCATACGACTTTGAATTCCAGTATCTGTTGGCGATGTAAACAATATTGTTTCCAATTTTCCTTTGTTTGGCATGGAAGATGTTTGGCATGGAAGA